AACAGGCTCACCCCCCCCCCGTCCCAGGAATTCAGTCTGGGAGGGGAATAGATGGGTTCCATAGGGCTACCGAAGTGGCAGCCACTGCTCGCTCTTCTGCCTCGGTCTTCCGGGGGGGGGGGTTGCACGAGCATGACCATACGGGAAGGGTTTAGGGTCGCATCTGACACGTCCTGTTCAGCGCGTGCTGGGTGTCCCGGGGTGGCTCTTCAGCCGCGGTCACGGAAGGCGCCGTGTGGGCTGGAACTTGAAGTGCCAGTCTGCGGGTACCGTGGACGGGGCGGTGTGGGCGTTTCAGGGAGGACGCTGATGGCAGCACTGAGGGGTTAGGCTCGTGCCTTATTGAAGACTTGCGGGGAGGCTGGTTTGAAGGGGATATTGAGGTCTGCAGGGAGATGACTGGCGGCGCTGGGCCTGGATGGCAAAGGGCCTGGGCTTCTCTGAGCCAGGGTGCCTGGACACTGCCCAGATTGCAGGGGTCACAGGAAGGAATTCGTCTGAGAGTGACGTGCTCAGGCTGTGAGTTGGGAAGCCCAGCCTGGTTGTCTTGAGGAACACGTGTCGTAGCAGAGGGCAGTTCGGTGACTACTGTCGTCGTCCAGGTAAGAGGTGAACTGAGGTGGGCTCGGAGAGATTGGTCATCAGGGGGTCTGAGGAAGGAGGTAGATGGCTACCCAGGTTCTGGCTTGAGCAGCAGGGAAGTTAGGAAGTGGGCTGAGTCCCACCTGGGAAGCGTTCTAGGCCGGTGATGAAGAACTCAGCGCTGGATTTAGTGTGTCTGGGCTCTTCCTCCTTCCAGGTCTTTCACCTCCTGCGAGTTTCTTAACTTCTCCGTGCCAACGTTGTTTCATCTGTAAAATGGTTGTAAGAACACAGTAACCCTCCTGAAGTTGTGAGGCTTAAATGAGATGATGAAAATAAAGCACTGAGCATAGCGCCTGGCACATATGAAGTGCACAGTATAGGTTATCTAATCAATGACACTGTCCCATGAACCTTGTTTTTTAGGTGTGAAGTGGGAATGTCCCCACCTTGTAAGGACAACTAACTGGCCTCAGCCCGAGTGGGTGGGTCAGGAGTAGGGTGGCGAGGAGCGTGTCTGGAGTCGGGGGACTCGGGAGACCACGAGGGGCCGTCAGAAGCCCTGGCTTCAGAAGAATGGCCGCCAGAATACCTAGGAAAAACAGGTCCAAAAACCCAAGGGCACCACACGGGACGGTGGACGCCTGGTGACTTGATCCTTGAAAAAGAGTGGCAGATGGAGTGGAGGAATGAACTCTCGAGCAGCAGGAGCAGAAGAGGCAACAGTTTAGATACTTGAAGTAACTGTGTTGACTCAGGAAGTTGGAGTGCAGGATAGGGGGGTTTACGGGAAGGGAAGAGACATCGCATTATAGACTAGAAACTGAGTGTGGGAGCTTTGTCAGTTCTCCTACAAATTAAATTGATGGGTAGATTCAATGCCATCCCAAACTTAGCTTCGACAACCTTGTCCTAAACTCTATGAGGAAGAGAAAGAGAGCTTTCAAGACTATCCAGGTAGGGCCAGGCTCGGTGGCTCAGCCTGACATCCCAGCACTTTGGGAGGCCGAGGTGAGTAGATTGCCTGAACCTGCGAGTTTGAGACCAGTCTGGGCAACTTGGCAAGACCTCACCTCTACAATAAAAAAATTAGCCGGGTGTGGTAGTGCACGCCTGTAGTTCCGGCTAGTCGGAAGGCTGAGGCGGAAGGATTGCCGGAGCCCAGCAGGTTGATGCTGGGGTGGCCATGAGTGTGCCATGGCACTCCGGCCTGGGCGACAGAGTGAGACTCCAACTCAAAAAGAAAAGAATTTCATTTTACCAGCTATTAAAAGTTATAAGTATCCAACTGGTAAATCAATATTATCTTGGTAACTGGATAGCTCCATAGATGAGTGCAATAAAAGGGCACGTTAAACTGTAGTCAAGGAAGGTGCCGTTCAGCCTGAAACGTGCAGTAGCGGTGGGGTGTGTGGACCCACACGTCGGTGGACACTCGCTGGATGAAGAGCAGGCATTGCGAATCACTAAGCAAAGGGCAGGCTGTGTAGTCAGTGCTAGAACAACTGGCCCTCAAATCCGAGTGGAAGAGATAGAGATGCCGCGATGCCTCTCTCACGCCCCACGATAAAATCATGTTCAGTCTGGTTGAAGGAATCCGCTCTCTCAACTTTGAGAACGGGAAAACAGCGGTGCATTTATGAGCTCAGGACAGGGGAAGATTTCTTTAACAGACACGTTTTTGACTGGAAGGAAACTACATGAGAAATAAAAACTAAAAGTCACAAAAGTCATTAGTAGAGAAGGAGAGAATATACGTACAATAAATGTAACTGACAGTTGACTAGCATTCACAACTTAGAAAGATCTTTCACAACCAAAAGTACATTCATATCTGTAGAAAAATGGCGAGAGTTATGACCAGGCCATTTCAAAAAAAATAAGACCTGAAGAACTACTAAAGATAACAAAAGATGTCAGTCTCGTCAGGAATCCAGGAAATACGGAGTAAACAATGAGATAAATGCTTGCTGATGATGGAAATAGAATTTAAGATTTTCTTCAGATTGAAGTCAATCTGTGAGGATTGTAAGTGTTTCCCTCATTATTAGTCCTTAACTGACCTCTTATCCTAATGGAGTTACTGAGAACTTGTATCTGGTGTTTTTTTCTTACGTGGAAATCCTGTCAGGGAACAGAAAGAAGTCTGTGTTGATACTACTGTCCCTATGGCCATAAGTCCTGCCTTCTTGTGAGATTGAGAAGGGAGAAGAGTAGTAAGCAGAAATCAGGTCCTATAGTGGTGGTAAACTTTTAACACCGTGTGTCCAGCAGCTGTCTTGAGAGTTCTGAAGGTAATAATAAAAAATTGTACACCATTCCTTTTAAACTCAATACAAAATTAAAACCATTGGTAGTATTAATACCCCATAATTACTTATTTCTTTATCATAACCACATATATCTGTCATATTTCTCCACTAAATTATGCACAGGAAGAAACTATTATCTGAAATTTTCAATGCATTATGTGTGTGCACATTATATCATTTGTATATATAGTTCATGTGTGCGTTTATGCGTACTAGCATGCTTGCTTATTTATAATGTGCATTAAAGTAGGGAAAACATAAATATAAAGCCAAGTGCATAATTACAAAGTGAAAAATTCATGTAACCACAACTCAGGTCAAGAAGTGGAATGTTGCTAGGATCTCAGAAGCCCTTTGCAATCATAATTCTTCCCTTCTTCTCAAAGATAATCAAAGGTAACAGTATCTTTAATTTTATGCTGTAGTTTACTTTTGCCTGTGTTTGAACCTTATATAAATGGAGTCATAAATTGTTTATCTTTCTGTGTTTGGCTCCCTTCAATCAATAGTATATTTTTGAGATTGATCCATTATGTTGCACATAGATATAGTGTGTTCATTTTTATTACTGCAGAATATTCCATGTTTATCCATTCATCTTTGATGAATATTTGAGTTGTTTCCAGCTTGGGGACCGTTGGAAATAATGCTGTTATTAACATTTTTTTTTTTATCATGACCCTTGATGTTTAAGTGCTCATGTTTTCATTGGCTATATTCTTAGAAGCTATGTTTATGTTTAGTTTTAAAGTTGTACTGACTTGTACTCCCATCAGCAGTGTATGGGAGTTTGATTTATTCCATATTCTTACTGACACTTGATTTTAAATTTTAACTCTTTAATTCTGCTGTAATTTTCATTTGTACTTTCCTGATGGCCAGTGAGATTGAGCAACTGTTCTGTGTTTACTAACCTCCAGTGTCGTTCTTTTTGTGAAGTGCCTATTCAAGTCTTCGTACATAGGTTTTTCAAATCTTTTTCTAGAGGTTTGTCTGCCTTTTAGTTGATAGAGGTTCTGTATGCTCCGGATATAAGACCCTTATCAGTTATATGTGTTGGAAGTATCTTCTTGTTTGTAGCTTGCATTTTACTCTCTTCTTGGTCTCTTTTGATTAATGTGGCCCAGCTTATTAATTTTTTCTTTTATGGTTAGTGCTTTTTGTGTTTTGATTAAAAAATCTTTCTCTACTCCACAATTATGAAGATATTCTCTCTGTTTTCTTCTACCAATTTATTGTTTGGCATTTACATTTAGATCTGCACTTTACCTGGAACTGATTTTTGTGAATGATGCTTTCCATAGGTATGTGCAGAACCAGTTACAGAAAGATCATTCTTGCTTCAGATGCCCCACCCCCACTTATCTGGAGTGCCCCGGTGATCCTCATTCAAGTGCTCACAGATCCTGTTTCTAGGTTCTGAATTCCCTTGTACTGGTCAGCTCTGTTTATTCTCCTGTCACTCTTGTGCTTTGCTCATTAC